AATTCCTATTAAATATAAAGTAAAAGCACATATATTTTATAATATGAAGGGCACGGTGGAAAACGGGTAGTAGTCCATGTATGAAAATTTTAGAGTATAGCAAAAACAAAGTTCGTGAATTACATAAGATTACTCTCCCTCTTACATAAGAACAAAAAAAAATCACATTAAGTGTTGTTCTACTAAAAAATGTATTTATTTAAACAATTTATTGACATAATAAAAAACAAATTTATTTGATAGCAACTTTTAAAAATTAAATGTGTAACATATTTATTTTTTAATTTTTTTAATTAAGAGGACATCACATACCCGTTATTTTATTCAAAAATCTCGCTTTGTGCAGATTAATTTTACAAAAGCTGTAGTGAAAACTAAGACACCAAATTTTCATATTATATAGACAACAACATTGTCCGTGCTCGACCATGGCCTTTTTTAAAATATTTCAACCAGTTAATGAATAATTAATTAATTAAGAAAGGACTTTTTAGTAGATTTTTAAAAATGATATAGCGTCGGTTGTAATTGGTGTATCGAAAAAATAAAAATGTTGGAGTACAGATAATTTTGTTTTGTGTATTATGTATGAGTTTCTTTCTTCAACTATATATGAAGTCTGAGAAAAATTAATCCGCGTAAAGCAGTTTTGATGGGGAAAAAATTGTAATCTATCCTATAGAAATGACTGTGATAGTCTGACAAAAAAAATTAGCAATCAACAAAGTATCCTCATTACTGTATTAATAGGTATACATGATACTTCAAACTCTAAATTAAGATCTTTCAAAATATTACCTATACTTTACTCTTTAGAAATGGCCGGTGTGGCGTCCTCTTAAGAATATTTTACTAAACATTTTGACTGGTTGATAAGCAGTTTTGGATAACTATAACTGCAGTTTTAAAACTTCAAGTTTAGGGCAGGAAGAAGTATGGATTGTACTTATTTTTTTATCTGAGCGCAATTACCTCCCGTCCTAACTTTTAAACTCATAAATTATTAAAAATAATTTTCCAAAAACTGTTTATAAATTAATCAAATTTTTTTGTAAAACATTCTTAATTTAAAAAGATAAAAAATATATAAGTTACCAGTTAAGTTTCAAAAAGTGCTATCAAAAAAACTATTTTGAGAGGGAAACAGGAACATAATCATTTGTGGAAAATTGAGATCAAGTTATATTTAAATATTATGACAAATAAATGAATTATTAATTAAACCCAGTGAAATATTGAGTGCCCAATAATAAATGAATCCCCTTGTATACGCTACCAAACCAAAAAAAAAAATAAAATTTTTTCTCCCAAAAGAGAAAAATTCATATATATCACACTCTAAAAAGTAGAATAATTTTTTGTAATTGTATTTATTGTTTACCATTGTTCATCCGTTTGAAATATTCTATGTTACATTAAATACAATGTATAGTATACATAAATCTAATTTTTTGAGTGAAAATGAGACTATATAGAATTTTTTTCGTTTGTATACTTCAAATTGGTATTAATCCAGAATTTATTTTTGATTATTTTTAAGGTACAGTTATTATTTTTAGGCCCTTGAGAGGGAAATAATCAAGCACGGTTCCAAATATTCCATACATGACCTAATGAATTGGGTATTATTCTTTGAAAAAGTTAAGATTCAAAATTGTAATTATTTACTAACGTCGGCTGACGTTTCCTTTCCGGTAATTTTTGTAAAAAAAAATGTTTAAAAATAATAATATTAACCGTTGTTTTAATTTTAAGCATCAAGTTAAGGATTTATTGATTAAAAGAGAGTGGTCACCTAAGCTTGTAGACGATATTGTTGGAAAATATAACCAAATCAACTGGCCATCTGGTATAACGAACAAGAAAATAAGTAATGACGAAAAGGAGAGACGTATAAAAAACTACAATTGTAGACGTATTCCGGGTTTCCTCAAAGGCAATCGAGAAGAAGCAGTAATCGTGTTAGCTGCTGATAATCTACATATGCCTGCTGATACGATCACTGAACCAGGATTTCTAATGTTCTTAAAGCCGGGAGCATTGTATTATAATAATGATGATGAATTTGAAGGTGTGGAAAATTTCTTTGATATAGTTGAAGTTCTGAGATGGGATTTATTGATAACATCACCTGACAATTCTCTTATGGTAATTTTGGCATTATAAAAAATATAAAAAATTAAAAATTACCCGTTTTTTTTAATTTAAAGGACAGCGCTGATCACCAATTGATACGGCAAAATTGGCCCCGTAGACACGTGGACGCTATTACTGGAAGATATAGTCAAAAAAGCTGGCCATCTGGTATATCAGGCACACAATTAAATGGTGATGCAAAGAGGAGCCTTTTAATAAAATACATATGTAGACGTATTCCTAGTGTTCTCAGTGGTAATCAAGAAGAAGCAGTAATCGTGTTCGCTTCTGATAATACGCATATGCCTGCTGATATGATCGCTCATCCAGGATTTTTTATGGCATTCAAACCGGGAGCATTGTATTCTTTAGATTTTAATGAGTTTAAAAGTGTGCCAGATACCTTGGAACAAGTAGAAGTTATTAATTGGGATTTGTTGATAACCTCTCCTAACGAGTATTTATGGGTAATTTTTGCATAAAAAACAAACTAATTAAAAAAATTAACTGTTGTTTTCGTTTAAGGACCGCGCCGATTCTCTACTATGGAAAATGAGTTTTCCATATCGACTTGCGAGGGCTCTTTTAGAAAGATATAATGTAAAAAGCTGGCCATCTGGTATATCGGGCACACAACTGCAATATAATGAAGAAACGAAGATGCTTTTAAATAAATATGTTTGTAGGCATATTCCGGGTGTTCTCAGTAATAATCAAGAAGAAGCAGTAATCGTTTTCGCTTCTGATAATACACATATGCCTGCTGATATGATTGTTGAGCCAGGATTTGTGATGATATTCAATCCGATAAAACTATATTTAAACAATTTTGATAGAAATATTGTGTTATCACCTTTTAGATATCTTTAATAATCATAATATATGTAAAATAATAATATATAATAACAATTTCCAACACTACAAACAAACTTAAAAGTTTCTTAATAATTGTATATTGTATGGTTTTAATTCAACTTCCATCAAATATAAAATGAAAACACTTCCATAATTTTAAATTCATTACTTTTTTGTATTATCAAAAAAAAAAAAAAACCTAATTTGTTGTAAGACAAATACTTTATCAGATATCCGAATTAAAAACAAACAGTTTCAAACCTACTCACTGTAAAGATGGATGAGTATGTTTTTTATTATTCTTTTAAATAATAAAGCCATGTACGGTTTCTTATATTATGCGTTTTATTTTTTATCTTAGTGTAAACTCTTTTTGTAAAATTAAAATACAATAGTGTACAATGTGTATTCCGACAAAACATCCAACGTAATTGGTATTCTAAATGTTTTCTTCTTATAAAAATAATACCGTATTATATCATATTTAATATAAAATTATTATAAAGATTATTATTTCATTGTGTTTTATAAATTATAACATACTCGCAAATTCTGCTGATAATGATGTAATTATACTTTTTTGATAATTACATATGAATAAGTCCAAATAAATTGTATTATTGTTATTAAAGTCAATTAATTCTAAAATATATGGTAATGTACTAGATAAACAATGTTTTTACCTATTATGGTTTAAACAAACCGTGTCCAGCAAAAAAACAGACTACTAAAAAGCGCTGAATTGATACTCTATTAATTTGTTTTACTATTGTCTTATTCAATTAGAATTTAAATATTTATGACATTTCTTACAAAACTAGTTTTTTCAAATAAAGTTAATATAATGTACTCTTATATGTTAATCAGATAATAAGGTATGGCTATTATATTAGAAAATGTGTGCTATTACAATTTCTGTTAATTTTTTCAGAACAAATACCTATAGACCATAATTACAGTAACCAAAAAAAAATCCAACTCGATATAATTTAGGGGCCTGTTTATTTTCGATCAAAAACAATGATTGTTTTAAAATTTAACCCTACTGTGAAATGTCTAATCTGGCAATATTTATGAAAACGTTTATACATGTTTAATACTTGTTTGATGAATATTTCGAAGTACTATTTTAATGGTCGTTTTAAATCTTATTGTAAAAATGATTACAAGTTTTTAAAAATTGTCAAGCCCAACATCTTGTAAATATTTTGAATAAAATTAATTGTTTTTGAAAACCAACATTGGAATATTATAAAACATATGTTCAACTATACAGCAGAGCATGAAAGGCTTATAAAATTTTGAAAAAAAATTATATAAACTCGGTATAAATCTACTTTAATAAAATGGATCATTAAAATTAGACTCCCCTTTGATATATTGTTATCATGTGAGTTTACTAATTTTAGCTGTTTCTGTTATATTTTTTTATGAGTATTAAACGTGCTCAATAATTTTCTAGTTATGTTCTACATCTTCGATTTATAAGGGGCCTCAATCGTTCTGAATTTTCCAACTCAATTCACACAACAATACCTGTATTTATTTTTGTGAACTATAAGTAAATGATTAATTATAAAAAAATGTGTACATTTCAATTATGTTTTAAAATAGTACAACAAGCAAAGCTTTGTAAGACAATTTTTATTGAAAATATAAGTTTCCGAATTTAGTGTAAGCGTTTTAATAATTTTGAGAACAACGTATATCAATTACTTTGGAAATGTACATTTAATTAAACAAAAGACATAGCAATCATATATACACGTGTAAGTTATAAATATAAAGCATTTATTTGTAATTCAATATTTTTTCATGTGATTGGGTAATATTAATATTAAGCAATTTGAATGAAATGTTGCGACTAACTTGTAATAATTATTAATGCTGGTATTCGTGTGTGTGAGTCGATAACATTCTACACATCTGTTTAATTTATTATAGAATTTAAAAGCAATTATTGTGTGCAGTATTTATATTACTACTTCAACTTTCAACTAGGGCTCCTAAATGTTAGTTCAGTGTAATTTTGCTAGTCTTAAACCATGTAAAAAAATGATTGACCAAGTAAAATACTATTGCATAATGTTGAAATAGGAAAAAAATGTATTTAACAAAAAAAAATTGTATGTTTACACGGCAGTCGGTATGAAATTACACCTAAAGTTTACATCTGGATCATCTGGGGTTAGGCTTCTTGTCTACCTAGTGTTTCTGTAATGTGTAACGTGCACTTATTGATTTTACAATGTGCGATTATATTTTGTAGGCAATACTCAATGTAATATTTATAAACAATTTACTATAACATACGTATTGTACATTTTTAACGATTACATTTATTAATCGTACGAATCTTAATAAAAAATAATTTTAAATACTTTTCCTCTTATAGGCATAGAGGGTTTATCCGACGTAACGTTCATTAACTAAGCTATAGAAAAACAAATTAAAAATATAAACAATCGAAAGTCGCCTAGTGGTTCTTGCTGGTTTGGTTTATTCCCTTGTTCTCGGGAGCCGTACTCCTGTGCTAGGGAAAAACGTCACGTTTAATTCTTCGTTTCCTTTATAAAAAAAAATAACATAGGACACATCGAGTGGGCTCAGTTTGGAATAGAGCACGTTAGCGTATCTTATGAATCTATCTGTGAGTTTCGCGAATTTATTGTTCCCCAAAAACTCTGTACTCTCAGATTCAGTTGTAACGGATGAATCCGTACTAACTTCATCGGTTTCAAAACTTAGCGGGTCATCGTCTTGTCGCTCTGAACTCGGAGAAACGATCGAGAAATCTTCCTTGATTTCGGACTCTGTGTCTTTTGGGTTATCATGATCGTCGTCTAGTACGCCACGTGCGTGGTCTTCAATTTCATCCATCTGTATCAAATCTTCACGGATTTGTTCTATAGACTGTGGCTTATCATCGACGGCATCAACGTCGTCGTCATCGTCGGTAAGTATTTCATTAAAATTGTCTGAAATATTTCCTTCTACGGGTTTCGTCGCGTTTCGAAAGTATCCCAGTAATTTCAAAAAGATATCGATAATGTATTTTAAGATTCTATATGCCCGTGCAAAGATTTTATTGTTATTAAAATCGTATAGTACATCATTAACATTTGCACCCATCTGTATCAAATCTACACATATGATTTCTTTGGACTGTGGCGTATCTTCGACGTAAAAAGTGGCGTCAACGTCGTTATCTTCGGCGCCTATTTCCTTCATATCGATTGAAATAATTTCTTTCGCAATTTTTGTCATGTATCGAAGTTTTTCCAGAAACTCTCCGTCAAATTCGTTCACATCAGAACACAGCTGAGCGGTAAGACTGAGGAACACTGGGTCGCCATAGTCAGGATACATCATATCCGTGATCCATCTTAGGGGGTCACAAGGCAACTTCCAAATAGACGGGTCCGCAACTTTAATATGTATTTCCTTTACATGGTTTTTGGCTTGACTTAAAGTGCTTTCGAATAATTTCATATGCGTCCAAATGTAGGAATATGCATTTATTTTTATAACGCGCAACACCCGACTATGATATTCAATAAATCTGAATGGCTCATTAATCCACTTGAATGTGTGTACAACGGCTTTAAGTTTGTCTTTTTCGTTTCGCAACAACTTTTTGGATGACCCCCAAACTATAAAATCTTTAAGAAACGGATCGAACAAGTCAGTATCGCGGTAGAGGAATTCGGATAAAACCAAATTGTCAATCCAAAAGTCTCCAAAGATAAAGAAATCTTCTAAGTTGTCGTTAGATTGGTTATCGTATAGCTCTACTATATACTGGACTATATCCATCTTTACAATGGTATCGTAATAAGCTTTCGAATTAGATGGTCTGTCGACGGGGATCGACAAGTAATTGTTAGATTGACAAAGGACAATATGTTGCAATAATTGTTCTATGTGCTGAATGTAAAAGGAATTATTATTACCTGGCAAATAAATGTAGGGCCAGGCAAACTTGGAAAACATCTGAATTAAAATGGTCCATAACCATTTGTGCGCAAGGGTTTTGCTGATATACAAAACGGATAACATCCGTTGCATGATCAAATTTGCGTAATGGTAAAATTTGTAACTTTCAATTGTATTCGAATTGAAATGATTTGTTTTGGCGACGTTTAATATGTAATGCACTATCACGGCATTGACACACTGTAATGCTTCCATTTTTATTTTATACTTTTTTATTGATAACGATTTTATCTGGATGCAATCCAAGTCTCCTTCACATTGATTTTGCAATACACTTTTATCTATGTCATCTAAAATAACGGGGCCTAGGCCATCCGCAGTTTCTACCGTTTCTACCGTTCTGAATTTATTAATAAGATTAAGGAAATCCTCGTCGTAAATGATTTCACTGGAAACCCAATCCGTATTTGTCTGTAACTAAAAAAAAAATGCACTTAAATTAGGATCTTAGTTACAAACTGTAGCTGTCTAAAATTACAATATGTACATTAGAAAGTAATCTCAAGACTCAACTTTATGGTGAGTGTAATCACCGGGTATCAAATCGTTTAGATGACAAATGCTCCTCTTACATTTACAATGTTCATCTTATTTTCTTATTTAACTTATACTAATACAAACAAATAGGGACAGTCATTCACATTCTCTCATACTAAAAATGATTGTACGTAACAAATTAATTTACTGCTTACAAATTGCCTGAATTCGGGTTCCTTTAAAATTATCTACCCTAAGGCCTAAAAGCTATATTTTGTGTGAAAAAAAAGAACAATGTGAAGGTTAAGACTAAATTGAACTAAATGTACTAATGTCCTGTCTCCTGTATCGTTTAACTTCACCTCGAAGAAAGAATAGTTACAGAACTAGAGACAGGCAGGCGGATTTAGTGTTATAATAAACCAGAATGGATTCTAGGATTAACAGATGATCTAGAGAGCTTAGAAGAACTATAAGCGGACATAACATATATAGGTCGAGAAATGGAAAACTCAAATCATGGAACTCATTGGTATGTAAATAAACGAAAGATTGTACTTGCTTGGCTACCACGTTAAGCACGAGATACAATTGGTGTTGCAAGATGATGTTGTTTAAATATGTCGGCAAGTATTAATAATGAAAAAAAAAGGTTAAACAATTTTCGTTAAGCGATTTGACGATAAAAAATTGTCAAAAATTAATTTTTTGCTTATAACTTGAAAAGTATGGATTTTACTTTAAAATGTATATTTATTCAATTTAAATTCCATTAGATAACTATTATTAAAAATATGTTAAAAAAGGCAGAGATTACAATGGTTATACTACATAATGAGAAATGGAGAAAACAATGTCGTTAAGAGAAACATTAGAATGTAAACCACAAGGAAAGAGCCTTCTCGTCACACTCAGAAAAAGAAGAACAATTATTTAGCTTAAGGTAAACTTTTGAATTCCTAACTGATCGAGTATATTGAAAATTATGTCCGTAATTGTATATTACCTTTAATGGATCCAATTCATTTGTTTTTCCCAAAGTGAATGTCATGAAATAGACATTTGTGAAGAGCAAGGCTATAGTCATAATTAAATAAGTCATTCTACATTAAATAACATGAAAATGTTACTATTACAAAATACTTTGAATTTTTCAATAGTTATCTAAAACGCAATATAAACAGAGAAAATATGTTTCTTAGTTAAATTTTACCTTTAAAGTACTGACGCATACGAGAGGTTATGTGCGTATGCAGTTGTAATAATGTTTATTACAGTTTATAATATTTATTGATTTATAGCAAATAAACGAAAAATAGCCAAAACTAAAACAGTACAAAATATACCAATGAAAATATAATTTTTCATTAGAGCTGTGTTATATTTTGACTTATGTGAAATATATTTCAAGTTAAACAAATGCATACAAATGTATTAACCCAGTTTATCATTCGTTTTGAATCCCTACAGATACAAATGGAGATTAACCTAAGATCACTAAATTTATTTATTTTCTTCTTATAATTTTTTTTATTGTTATGTAAATAACAATACGATTATCAATTTCTAAATAGAAAAAATCTAATTACCTCCTCATTCCCACTACGGCTTATGCTTTGTCCCCACTGTACCGGCTTATTAAACAATCATTATATTGTTTTATTAAGTTATTCCCTATAAATATTTAGATTGTCGAAATTCTTCAATAAAAAGAATTTGATGAGCAAGTTTGGTAGCCGTTAAACATTCAATCTGATATCAAAAACTTATATCTAGCCAATCGGGATTTAATTGTTTGACACATAAAGTCATAGTTTCGAGCGCTTTTTGTTTGTTATCTTACAAAGCTAACCTGATATTTGCTAACGATTCTCGAACATCATCTTAGCGCCATCAATCCATTTTCGAGGATCACCTATGTACATTTAGGTCTTGCAAGAAGGTACTTGTAAATTTAGTTACTAACTAAAATGGTTGGTTCAGAGTTTTTTTTACGGCTATTTCCTTTATCTTGTTCACTGTCCTCTAGGTTTTCGCTGAACCGATCCATAAACTAATCAAGGCCGTTAAGTTTGGTGGTGACGTCGGACGATCCACGTAGGGCAAATAGCGAGTGATAAAAAAAATATTAAAAATCTCCAAGAACGCCTGAATGCCTTCAATTTGTGCAATAGCCAAATACACTGAACCTAACGACTTATAACCTATTTCGGTCGTTTCAAAAGACTTCAGTTTCGATTGGTTCGTTTTGATTAAGGCCATCGATAAAGCAAATTGCTTGTACAAATAATACAATAATATATTGTTGATCCGTAATAACACTTGGTAGTTAATCGGGTCAAGATTATCCACGTCTATTTCGTATCTGTATCTCTCAGCGAACTGTCTCATTGTAATATCAATGTTTTCCACCGTGATTGTCATTTGTTGGATTTTCACGGCATCTTCATTTTCGGATTTCATCAATGCCGTCCATTTCAATATACAAAATGAATGTGAGTGTCGGGAAACAACGGACAGTTTGGCTTAATTTCCTAAATGCTGTTTAACGTCACCATTGCGCCTAAGGAGAATCATTACTTTATTTTTAATTAGCTCTTTAGACTTAGAACTCTATTTTTTTGAATTTTTGATTTTTCCGGTTTGGGAATTTCTCACATTAACAAAGGCACGTTAAAGCAATTAAACTGTGCGATAATACCTAGTACAGACTTTTGCTACATTAATACACAATGTAATGTGTATTGTAAGTTAAGTTCTGTTCTAATATTTGGTCATTAATTATAAATATTAATATAATATAATAATAATGTTAATAATTAATTATTATTAATATTTTTATAACCACTGATTCCATGCAGAAAACTATAGCTTATTGGATGTATGTTTAGGTTATCCGCTTATAATGGCCTTTATGTTGAAATTTCTGTATTGTACAAAAGCCAGCAGTATTTTTCCACAATGTCTGGTGTAACGTAAACAAATGACAAATACCTGTTGTTATTATCATAAGCTTCAAGTTAAACATTATAGAGCGGTGATATTTTTGAAAACAGTATTACATTACATTATTTATGATAAATCTACCTCGCGTTAACCACATTTTACAAATAAGAAAACATAATATTATGTGGATTATTTTTTTATCGATAACAAGTTGTTTTTCAAAATGTATTCGGTTCTGTTGTTTTTATTAAATATTTACATAGTAAACATCTATGTCTCTGTGTTTTGGTCGTATTCATACTGTTCCATTAAACCATTTTGAGCCGTGAACTAAACAAACTGGGTTTTTTTATATTTATTTTAGCCATGTCGTTTTGTATAGCGATTTTTTTCCATTACAACTCAGCAGTTAAATGGTTGGTTATACCAAAGTAATAAAATAAATGGACAAGTACATTGACTGAATTCTATATTTTTTTTTTAGAAAAAGGAACAATGTATAAAGTGATGGATGACTCATAATTTTCTAATAAAAATGTTTGAATCCAAAAATTTAATTTTAAAACGATTTGATAACAATATTGTAGGGTTATACAATAACAAGTATATGAACAGCAATGGAATGTTGTACGACTACAACCTATAGACATTATTTTGTAGATAATTAAATGAAAATAAGCAATATTCCAAAACGAATAAGAAACTTACATATTATATAGATTCGACTTGAAGTCGGATACTCCAAATTCGGTTTATTTATTTAAGCTAACATACCTATTGTACACTTGAACGTGCTTTATGGCAATATACTATTACTGTTTGGTTAATAAACGCCTATACGAGCATTCTCACGAATCTCAATAGTAAAATGTTATTTCGTACAATATTTAGCGTTATAGCATTAAACATTTTGTGGAGTAAAGTTGAAACTTCTGTTTAGTTAATAATTGTTTGTTCTGTTTAATTTTTTTACTGCAGCACAACAATGCACGCAGTCGTACATCGGTCAATTGTCACATTTTATCTGTGTTGGAATTTGGTTAATGCCAGCCCGACTGTATCTACTGCAAACATGGTATCGCTAAAGCCACCGATTCCTTCCGGACGACACGGCGCAAACAACATTTCCAAACTCGACAATATTCAACCGTTAGTGGACAAATCAAACGTGAACCCAAGACCTGGTCAAATAGGTAACGGTGGACTGGTAGTAAACAATGAAATTGGAAAAAAAGTCGATTTTACAATAAAAACCCAACTCAACGCCCGAAAATCAACGGCAGAATTTGACGAGGTGAACGGCAATACTGCTATTAACAATCAAGTTGTGAGTACCGACATTGGAATGTTGTACTATCAGCTTTATGTTACTCTGAAACAACATTTAATCGACTGTTTGCGAATAGACAATACCGATACAAATTGGACACTACCGGAAATCGTCGACTTCATATCGATTAAAGAGAATTTACTGAACAATTCCATTGCTGTGTTGCGCCAAAGTCAACTCGACATTACACCGGTGATGAGGCTATATTTATTTTTTTGCGGTCCGTTTCAAGCACTCGACAGTGCGGACAATGATACGGAGCATCGCGAATGCAGCCAACTAATTCGTTACATACAAAACGACATGAACGAAAAGTTCAAAGATATCATAGGCGAAAGTGAACCCCTCTCGGATAAGTTACACGGTAATCAATTGAAAGAGTTAAAGGATAACACGGAAGTGACACTATTGTCGCTGGCGTTGAACGCCATTTACGAAATTAAGCCAAGCTGTCCGTTGTTTCCCGGCACTCCTGTTCATTTTGTTTGCATTGATTTATTCAAGTGGACGGCATTGATGGAATCCGACAATGAAGATGCCGTGAAAATCCAACAAATGACAGTCACGGTGGAAAGCGCTGATATTACAATGAGACAGTACGCTGAGAGGTACAGATACGAAATAGACGTGGATAATCTTGACCCGCTTAACTACCAAGTGTTATTACGGATCAACAATATGTTATTGTATTATTTGTACAAGCAATTTGCTTTATCGATGGCCTTAATCAAAACGAACCAATCGAAACTGAAGTCTTTTGAAACGACCGAAATAGGTTATAAGTCGTTAGGTTCAGTGTATTTGGCTATTGCACAAATTGAAGGCATTCAGGCGTTCTTGGAGATTTTTAATATTTTTTTTATCACTCGCTATTTGCCCTACGTGGATCGTCCGACGTCACCACCAAACTTAACGGCCTTGATAAGTTTTATGGATCGGTTCAGCGAAAACCTAGAGGACAGTGTACAAGATAAAGGAAACAGCCGTAAAAAAACTCTGAACCATGCGTATCAGTTAGTAACCGAATTCACAAGTGCCTTCTTGCAAGACCTAAAAGTGGGCGACCCTCGAAAATGGATTGATGACGTCAAAGGTGAAGTTCCCAAATCGCCAGCAAACATCAGATTAGCCTTGGAAGTAAACAAACAAAAAGCGCTGGCAATTATGGCTTTATGTGTCAGTCAATTAAATCCCGATTGGCCAGATATAATTTATCGGAATCCATTTGCGTTTTTAACGGCTACCAAACTCGGCCACTCAAAACGCGATTTTGAAGAGTATGACGGCGAGGAAGATTTATACCTATAATGATTAGAATTGTTAATAAATCTAGCATACATTATATCCACATACATATTAGTGTACACCCCAAATTGTTATTATATTTATATGATATTAAAAAGATAAATAGATTTTAACATTGATTATTGCGTGTGTTGCAAAAAGTTTTTTTAAGCTATAATACCAATTAATAGATTTTTGAAATTAAACATTTATAATCCTCCAAAATGGTAATTATGTCAAATATAAAAATATCTAAATAGTGTACAGTTATTAAGCAGTATTTTTATGTCAATGAAATTTAAACCTTGTTCCCACACTGAGAAAATATCGTTTCCACATAAATGGATTTTGTCGTCATTATAATCTGCCTCTAAAACAGAGCATAATGTTGTTGACGTTGGATAGGTGTCAGTTCTTCAAAGTTGATTGAAACTTAAAGTAATAAAATGATTTTCAAAGAAGCACTGTTACACATGACAATCTAGAAATGTAACTTTGTAAGTAATCGGCCTTATAAAGTACCTTTTGGGTACGATTTTTGATGTATAGACTTAAAGAAATCGGTTTAGTGGTTTTGAAGATATTATTCAGTTACAAAAAAAAAAAAAACCCACACCATTTACAAATTTATCCTTCAAATTGTACTC